AAGCTGAATTTAATACTTCTCGTGAACTAGAGCATATAGAGAGCCAAAAATCTACTGCAGTACTTCTGAGGGCTTCTACTATGCAACTGCTTGTGTAAGAACAGCACAGCATCACTGTGGTAAAAACATGAAAATTTTCGGTTTCTTGATTTCTAGCTGATAAAAAAATGCAGCAACAGCACATATGAATGTCTGATGTGAAATATTTATACGTGAGCAAGTTTGAGGTTTGTAGGATTTTTTTGAACGAAGATATAAAAAATTTTCGGTTTTTTGGCCATCCGAAACTTTTTAGATTTTGATGGTTTAAAATTCGAGATAGACCAAAGCTTGTGCGAAAGCGTAAACCCATCTTATAGAGCTTGCTTTGCTCTATCGAATGGTATCCTGATGTCTATTTAGAGTAAGAAGTGTGTGACTTATTATAGCGAAAATTCAAAAATGAAGACTTATAGGACAACCTAATATATAGATAACGTAATGTGCAAAAATATATACAGCATCCTCAGTGATCGATTGATAGACTAGCTAACCTTCATTGTTTTTACCATTAAGGCTACATCCTCAGGGCATGCTGCTACCACTAGAGAAATAGGTCATTTGTCTAACGTTTCGAGAGAAATAGTGACAATGTAGTTTGACATGTCAGTTTTAGAAATGTCTAGTCGAATCAACTCTTAACGTTGTGTCTGACGAAAGTCTAATTTTTGAGATTTTGTGAATTGAAAGTCGACTTCATCAGTTCATCAAAATTTTGGTGCCCTGTAATGAAAAGACCCCGCAAAAATAGCATATTTAAAAAAGGACCTCAGGAAACCCATAAGTCTATGTCTACAATATCTCCTGAAACTAGCCTTTCAAGCAGTTTCAGCAGATATTGTTGCTGAACATCAGTTTTGTGATTCTTTTGAAGTCCCGGTTTCATGATTGTTGACGGATGTATCGCGAAAGCGGTTGGATGGGGCGGAGCTTAGAAAGTACACAGACTAGGCTCTGTACAATATGCTATTCATGACCCCATTCCACGTTGCCGCAACTTTTTGGGATAGGTAAGTTCCAGTGGCGTACCCAGGATTTCCGCTCGGGGGGGAGGGGGGGCGCGGCAAAAATTTTTTTCAAATGACCGTGCGTGGCGTCAGCCACGCACTCCAAAAAAATTTTAGGGGTGCTTTTCAAAATTTTTGCGGGTCCCCAACCCCTAAAATCTGGAAAAAGGGGGCGTGGCGTCAGCCACGCCCCCGAAAAAATTTTTTTACAAAGCTAATTTGAATTTTTAAAAATTTTTAAAAATTATTTTATTTATTTGCAAGTATAAACAAGTCACTTGCACATTTTTATAACCCATATAAGTAACTTTCAAAAATTTGGCGACCCATTCTCGGGGGGGGGGGGGGGGCGCGCCCCCCCCCCCGCCCCCCCACCCTCGGTACGCCACTGGTAACTTCCCTCACCCAAATTTTGTAGATTCACAAGTTATTGGCGGCCTGACATTTCAAACTAATTTTCTTTTTAGAGGCCTGAAGTGGTAAGAGGTTTATGATTTAATTTCTACCTTACCAAAATACTTGTAATAAACGAATAATAGTAAGAGTGAAACATTCTCTTTTTGAATACAAAGTTGAAGTACGGTCGTAAGGACAGATAAAACGTGTTAGGAGCCAGGCATACATCACACGTTACGATACGGCTACTCACTGGCCGATTTTTTCTGAGGCATACTTCCCTCATCGGAAGCGTCGCGTGTGGCTGAATTTCAGCGATATCGCGTCGCTGACTTCACCAGAGCGACTTCTTTTCTCGAATATTTCTTGAAAGTTTTTTGTTGATTTAGAACGTTTTCTTGTTGTTCAGACTGATTAAAATCCTTAACATCATTATTTTTTGCGTTTTCCTAGCGTGTGAACTCCAAAAAACTTGGAGTCAACAGACTTTACTTGATCCACGGGATTTTTCAAAGTGCTGATACGAATATCACACTAAAATTAGGCAAAAAGCCATTTCCGTGGATACGCTAAATACATGACGACTGGACAAAGTGCGGATTTTACTTTTGTTCGGAATCAATCGAGTGACTTCAACACGAAGTGATGCCAGTAACCTTTTTGCTGTACATTTTATAGATGTCTGAGATGAGGTATGTGGCTCCGCCTCAGTTTCCGCCATAACGCGTTACCGTAAGGAGCATAGTATGATACTTGTGATCCAACTAAAGTATGTAAAGTTTTAGCAGTTGCAGAACTTGATTGTCACAAAACTATTATGTTCACAGGTGTGCTGTGTGTAAGATTAGTATCATTTTGAAAATCCCCATATTCTCAAAAGCCCCATCGAGTTTGAGCGAGATCTGCAAACGCGAAACACACTTTCGATTGCACCAGTTGATGAAGAATGCCCACGTAGAGCGATTAGCAACTTAGTCGCCGCAATTTCGTCACTTCCAAGTACCTGATGATCTCATCGCTCGATGTGTGCCCGGCCCTCTATACTGGCATGCGATATTGCTGTAAAAAAGCTCTCGAAGCATTCTGAACTTTCGAAACTCGCGCATCAACAGCCGAGATGAGAGCATGTAAATCCCAAATTGAGTTTATGCTATTTGTGACGTTAGGTGATTTGAACACTGCCACTATCAGTCGAGTATAGTCTACACTGCATTTCATGGTTAGTTTTGAGACAACTGACTGCCTTCCTACCTCTGCGGTGAAAATTTTTGCTAGTGCATTCTGTGGTGTTAACGAAAGGGCACGTCATGTGAGTTCTTTCTGGGCGTCTAACGGAATCCCCCTAACTTTTGCGATATTTTACGAAGTCCCCTTTGACTCTCAGCGCTAAACGTAAAAAACCCTCAAAAACAAAACGTCGACTTCAAAACGTCGCAATTTTTGGCCACAGAAACGATATCCCGTTTGCTTCCTCCCCCCAAGAAATGAATTGGGTATATGTCAAGGTTATAGAAGATCGTCGCATAAGCTGTTTGATCTTATCATCTTGAAAAAGATCCAGAACAGAAACATTGGAGGTCAAAAACCCATGAAAATCTAAAAATTGCAACTTCATGAATATTTCGCTTATTTTGCAGCAAAAGCCATGAAACTCAGCAAATGGTAACTTCGAACAGCTAGTAAGTTAAACGACTTTCTCTGGAATTTTTTGAAAATTTGTGTAGTGCAGAAATGGGCTTTTATGTTGGTGACAGCCAGAAAAATCGCGCCTCTTGACCGTCTCCCAAGGAAGTCCAACCCGCTTTCATACGATTTGCGTCGGGCCTGGTTATTGAGGTTAGCCGTGGAAAAGTTTGCGATGATAGACATCAAATCAAAAAACTCTTACCATTTTACGGCTTTGGGAAGGCGATTAGTCGGAAACATCAAATCACCACTATTAACACGTTTCGGACCGCGTAATTGCGCGCGGCAAAAGAGGGGATATTTTCAGCCTTAGCCAACAAAGGGATCTTAATTCGTAGATTGTGTGCTATATCTGCAAACAGCATGCAGATAGAATCCATATCCAGAGTTCTGAGTGAATCTGAAGTGTTTGAATTTTGTCGTCTGAGAAGGACTTCTGTGCTTTTTTAGAAGATAGGAACGAGAACTCAGTTTCTAATTGTATCCAAAAGTATCTATATTGTACACGATACACATCATTATCGGAACTACGATTTTTCTCTTTGTATTCATGGTTAACAAGGGAACGATACTCGGTGTCTGTGGCCTTTTAAGATGAGATGTATACCATTACGCTCGCCTTCGAACGCTGATTTCGAATTGACTTCCGTTTCTGCTAATCGCTTCAAAGATGTTATGATGGATCGCGCGGAGTTTGGCTACCCAGTGAAATAAGGTAGGAGCGCCGACACTCACGTTGCGCTGCGGACCAGTGGTTAGTGCAGTAGCCTCATGAGTCGATGCAGGTGTAGGTTCGAATTCCTTTGTGTTTTTCAGTTTTGCCTTACCTCAGTTAACCTTCTTTCGCATCTTCGAGTAAGTGAACGCTTTTGCTCTTCAAAAAATGTGTAAATTTGGAGTAAATGATTACTGTTTGCGCTAAAATGTATCCAGTGATCATAATTCGAGTGAATTTTTCTTGAACAAGTAAGGCAGTGCAAAGGTAAAGACACAAAAGGATGTGAACCTACACTGCGTCAACTCATGAGGCTATCGCACTGCTTACTAGACCAGTACGTGGCCGCAATAGAGGCCGTTCCAATGACCATATTTTCCTTAGGCGGCCAAACTTGGCTCAAATTTCTTATAATTTCTTTCAGAGAAACGATTAGCAAAAACGGAAGACAGATTCGGAATCAGCGTTCGGAGACGAGTGTAACGGTATGCCTCTTATCTCAGAAGGCACGGACATTGAGTATCGTTTCCTTGTAAGAAAACTTGCGACGACGCACGCGTCCTTCGCGTTGCCGCACTTCGTTGCAACTGATGTTCGATTTGTGCTCATCTCATGAGCAAATATTGACGGCACAGCTCTACAGAACCTTTCAAAAAGGAGGAACTTAGGCCTTTGATTTACCTTGGACAAAAAAGAAAACCAACGTTGAAAAGATCCTTCAAAGCCGCGTGCTGCACCCTGTGCAGCACGGTCCGAAACGTGTTAATAAAGATACTATCGACATATTAATGACGACAATGTTTACAAGAGGAAAATGTTGGAATTTACTGAGATAGTTGATTTGCAAATGGTTTGCCTTGCTCATCAAAGCTCCTTCAAAGGCCTTAAACGAAAATCAAAGAAATTAGCAAAAGTGAAACGGACGAAATGGAAGTTTGTAAACTCCGACATCATCTCAGCGTTTCTGGGCAGAGTCACACCGTAATTTTAGTTGCTAGGAAGGGGAAAGAATTTTGCATTGGCTCTGCTTGAATTCTTGCTTATATTACGAGATTTGTGGTCTGTTTAAAAAACGGAAGACCTGCTATATGAGTATATGAGTATGAGTCTTCTATATGAGCTGCTTAATTACTTATTTTTGAATTATATGTGCTAACCGTTTCGGATTAATAATTTCTTCGGTAAGAAAGCTCAAATTTATCCATCCTTGATAAGCGAACAATCCAGAATAAAATCCAACAGAAGCGTCGAGCCAATTTCGAAAGTTGCCTTCGAAAGGGCTTTCGAAAGAGTCTCTATACTTCGGCCCACCTGAAACAATTCGGCAGTTTTCACCTCTGCAGTATTTTTAAACTCACCGAAAATGAGAAGAAAGCCGCCTGTAAGAATGACAGCGATTAGTACTAACACTTTCGCGTAAGTAATATAGTCTTGCATTGATGCTGCTGCTTTTACAGACCAGCAATTTATTGCACCCACACCAACTGCAAGACAAATAGATCTACGATAGTAAGGTTGAGCACAGCAATCGCTCAAAGCAGATTAATCTGCTAGTGACAGAGATCATCCTCTTAATGAGGATCGCAACATATGATGTCGAAAGCCTCGTAACTTTACTTGCGGGTCAATGCCCATGCATTTGCAGCCCACTGCATTGTCATTTTCTCAGAAATTTGTCTTATGAAGAGATTTCGCAATATGATAGTAACAAACAATATTTATTTTCGCTCTTTGCAACTCTAGTTGTTTGCATTGTCAAGACTATCTTGGTTTATAATACCGATACACCTGAAAGAATTGTCCCAGCTCTGCTATGCTGTTTAAACGGTTCCGCCAGAAGGTTGGACTATTTTGTTTCATCTAGAGCTTCACCAGGTACACACAATATATGACGCAAGGACTGGGCGCTGTTGCGTGCCAAAAAATAGTCACTTTTTGGAGTGTTAATACTGTCTAGCTTATAGTATCTTTCAAACTGATAGCGTAATTGATAGCTGAAACAATTGCGCAACAAGAGCATATTGAAACTAGCGCATTTAGTCTGCATTCACTTTTGGCCTTCATTGAAAAGGCAGAACTTTTTGAACAGCCTATTGATTTTCTTCTTGTTAGCTTGAGCGAAGTCCAAGATTGGTACAGAACTTTATCGCACAGAATAACAGACTAACGTTTTGGCAAACTCGCCTTCTTCAGAGTCTGAAAAGTCGAAGACACATGAGTAAACTATCCGATCAAACACCTCGTCGACTACAGAAAGGAGCCCAACCCTCTAAGAAAAACAACAGCCTTAACCAAAACCAAAACTAAGCCAGTGCTCACCTTAACAGATGAAAATTTGGTGGGTGCAGACCACTTATGTCAAAAGCTGTACTGCCTTACTTTTATAGTTAACTAGTGACCCGGTTCTGACCTGACCTCATTATTCAAAAACCACAGAGGCTCTGATAAGGAGACAGCTCGTTAGTAATGGCTAGGCACTCGTCCTTCCAGTTGATTTTTGGCCGCCAACCAAAACGCTTCAAGTGTCCTGCGCGCTAGGATCTCGCACGCGCCAGGATTCGAACCTGCACTGCCACCTCCGCGTCGTCATGGCTGAGCCTGCGATGCATGCCTAACGGAGTAGCTGCGTTGCCCTTGCTAAAACCATCTAACCAGGGGAGGACCCAAAGTCGAAATCAGCTTTCCAAATGGAATATATACCGATCTAAAGAGCATCAAGCGCTGATTCCAATCCTACCTTTGCTTTTTGCCAAGCGCATTTAGGCGCTGAATTATGAGGGTTTTTTGGAGCAAAAAATGATGACAAAATTTGGGCAAAATCCATGTTTTCGGTCTTTCCAGAGCTCAAATAAAGAAGTGTAGAGTACGAGTATATCAGACAAGAGGTTTCTCATTAATAAAATGCTTTGCTATCCCAACGTGGGCCATTTGCGCAATTCTAAACAAATTTGTTCCTATTGAGCGTCCACTATTTTAAAGGCAAAAAACGCTCATAAGTCAGCGTCTAAAAGCGCTTGGCAGATAACAAAGACAGTTTTGTAATCAGCGTTTGATGCTCTCCAAACTGGTATATATTTTATCTGAAAAGCCGTTTTCGACTCCGGGTCCTCCCCTGGTAAGTGCTCTTTGATGTGCGTGCATACGGGGAGACCCATCTCGCCAATATACGCGTCTCCACATGATGTACACGTGATAAGGTAGACAACACCTGATACCATACAGTCTCCTTCCTTGCCGAATGGACAAATTACAAAATTAGACGTTGTACAGAGACGATCGTACTCCCGGTTTCGTACTAGCTGCTGTTTAAGGTTTGCAGGCGGAATGTCGACGATCCTTACAATATCGTTGAGGCCTGCTTGATGAGGTATCTGCGAACAGCCCTACCAAACTCTTCTGAGATAAATGGTAGACAAAATGGGATCTGATCTTCAGCTTCCAATGTAGGCGGTGTACGATGGACTCGGTATCTGTAAGGGTGATAAGCTTTTGTGTTGTATCCATTAGACCTTGCTACTGATTCTGCAAGCTCCAGCGAACACATTTTCTAGTCCCTATCAGAAGAGACCCCCGCAGCTGTTCTAAACATGTTTCCTATGACGGATGCCTTTATTCGAGCGGGATGTGCTGAAGAATGGTGTAGTAAGACGTTTTTGCTGCTCAGCTTTCGGTACCATCTGGTCTTAAACCCTCTGCCCGATGAACATAACCGTACGTTGAGGAACGGCAGCCATCCATCTTTGGGTTTTTCCCTCGTCATCTTGATGTTAGCGTCCTGGGAATTCATGATATTGAAGCAAGTGTCAAGCTCGGCCTAGGTAGGACACACGATACAGCAGTCGTCCACGTACCGACAGTAGAGCAGAGGCTTGCTCGCCAGTACTGGGGCTTTCACCTTAGACATGAAAACAATTGCCAAGGTCGGCGCTGGCCTCTGTCCCATAGCCAATCCTCTTATCTGCCTGTATTCCACACCAACGAAATACGGAGCAGTCGACACACTCTTTGACCAAAGACAAAACGCCTCTGATGCTAAGACCATGAAGATTGATTGACGACTGGTGTTCTACAAGAAGTTCAAAGGTTGATTGCATTGCGGCATCATTGGAGACGCTGGTATAGAGCGATTCCACATCGAAAGACTCCAGAGCGCACCCTTGCCTTATATTGGTGCTGCGCAGACGATCAAGAAACATTTTGGTGTTAGAGAGATGTGCGGGGACAAATCTGAGCAGTTGAGAAAGAATAGTATTGAGAAACACGAAATTCTATCCACCTCCCACACCGCTGATGATAGGCCTCACCTTAAAGTCTTGCGGATTATTAGACCTTAAACTATCAATAGGCACTTTATGTGTTCTGATTAGAGTGTACAGGACTGGACACATAAGCAGATCGGTCTCCAAACGTGAAGCGAGAGCCCTAGGAATGCCTTCAGCTTTAGCTACTTCTAACCATACCCTGTTTAAGCAGCGATATTGCTTCTTGAAATCGTTATCGCCATGTCCAGATCTCGCGAAAGAATCACAAACTCCCCTCCTTTTTCGCTGACAGACACCTTGATCTCCCCTGCAGCGCAAAAGTCGCGAATTTCGCGCAAGCCGCGGCGTTGCAAAAATGTTAAATTACTATTTTGGCGTTTTTGGCGAAAACGACTGAGAATTGAGAACAACCCCGTAGCAAACATTCGAAACTTGGCGTCCGCTGGTTGATTAGACTCCTGTGCTTGTATACCAAACGCGGAAAAGGAATAACTGGCCATGTTTTTCCCGCAGCTGTTTCTTCCGTCTCTTGCGCTCTCTCGCTCGTTGGCTCGTTGACGTATCTTTTCGTGAACATATTGATTATCCTTTGATTCAACGGGAATGGCGGCTGGAAGGCGGATTCAAGGCCTGATCAGGGCTAGGGAATGACTAGAGAACACGCCGATAGAGATACAGATGCGTCGCGCGTGCAGTGGTCACCTTTCACCCGCCAATCCCGTTAAATAAGGTTACCCTCCCCTCCCCCCTTGTACACCAAGCATGCTTGGTCGTCAAGATTAAGGGCATATCATAAGAGACAGTAAGCGATGGCTCTTTCAGACATTTTTGGTTTTTGTAGTCTTTTCCTAGAAAGCACATTCTGAACTATGGAAAACAACATGGCTTATCGAAAAATTTCTGAACAGAGATAGATTTCTGAAGAAAGATATCCGCCCATGATTTGTACTATAGGTATAGGCGTTGCGTTAATTCATAAGCAGAGCCAACTCATTCTTTACATTCAAAATGCATCATGACTGTCAAACTTAAAACTTACTTATAAGAATGGCTGCGACAAGCTCGGTAGTCCACGGTGGAGGGTCGCAATTTGGATAAAGAGGACGCAGTGTGTAAATGGCAAAGGTTAGGCTGATGACCGCTCTTGCACAGGGCCTGAACAATTCCGTTCAGTATCATTCATTGTCCTGTACTCGAATTTTTCCATCAGAAGTTCTTTGAGCAGCATTTCCATGTAGTAAACTAAAATTTTATATGTATATGCTCGTCTAGAGGTTCTAAGTGATGAAGTCGAGATGATTCTTTATAAATGAGGTAGTATGGCAGATTCCTTAGAGGCAGCGTCCAGGCAAATCTGCTATGGGTATCGCATTTGGAGGATAATCTTGGAGCCCTGACCAAAACATTGCTCAAGCGGCAGCTCAATTTTGAGACATTGAGATATTCGCCCCAAACTGAATCCCGGGATCGTATATTGCATGGATTCATGGCATGACAATAAGTTTCGCGCGAGGACCCCCGCGTGTCGCGCCATGAATCCACGCGAGTACGATTCTGAGGTCCAGTTTGGAGGAGAATATCTCAACTGCGAGTTCACCATCTGAGCTGCCGCTTGGGCGGTGTCCTAGTTAGGGCCCCAAAATTACTTTCCACATCAGAACCCTGTATGTCCAGTATTGCCTAGACGCTGCCTTCAAAGGCAGCGTGCACTCAAAATTTTGTCCTCCATGTTTTTGATGTTATCGAGCCTTTTCATGACGCTGTTTTCGAATATGAGGTCTAAATTACAAAAAACTTCAAGATTGCCCGTTTCTCAAGCCCTAGTTTGGCAAACGTTGACGAGTGCTCCGGCGCTAGTCACGCCGTATGCTAAAGGAATTGTCGTATGACCGTGCTACATTACAAACTATGCGTCTCGAAGTCCCTCGTCATGTCAGAACGCTTCTCGGGCCAATCCGTGGGCAGGTGAAGCGCAAAAAAGAAGCGGAGCGCAAAGAGAATCCGGTCCGTTATCTCCTTTTGTAGGGAACATTGGGGTATCGGAGCAGCGCGGTTGGTCTACTTTTAGGGCATGCTATTTTATTTTATTTTGTTTTATTTTATTGCATTTTACTAATACACTCAAGGTGCACCGAAGAACAAGAAATAAAACTCTTACACGTCGAACGGAACCATGATACTAGCTTGTCAATAGCTTAGAGAGATAAACGATGGACGTATAAGCTATGCACTAATCTAAGGCCAACTAAGATATACAATATCTATTAGAATGTCTGATGAGTGTAATATTCACTTGAGATATAAAGAATGACTGGAGAATCTTGCTTCCTCCAAATTAATTCTGAAAACCCTTTTTGAGTGCCAGCGAGCTTAGGCTGCGTTCATATTGATTAGGTAATCCGGGAACAGTAGGAACGCGTAGCCTTACGAACGAAAACTAGCTCACAGCGCCCAGGTGAAGATACAATTTGGAGGACAGCAAGACTCCGAATTGAAGTGTCAGTCCGAAAGCCTGCCAGTAAGGCATAAGCGGAAGTGAACCTGGGCACTTAGGTGTGAGTGTAATGGTAAAGCCATGCGAAGTGGAATCAAGTATCCTGGCAGGTGAGGCAAGCCGGTATGACCGTTGGTAATGCAAGGTTTAGGTTGACAGTGAACGACAGTGAACGAACAAAAATAGATAGGTGGCAGTATAACTCAATGTTTTGATTTGATTACCCAAATCGAAGCGAAATGCATTTGCTAAGTAGACGGGTTGAAGATTTGACGAGATCTGGAGGGCTTGCGAGGTGTGGATGATTTGAAGAGGTATGTACGACTTGGCGAGTGAACGACGACGAGGTACCAACAACTTGAGGAGGAATAAGCAATCTGACGAGGTACTGAGTTTCGACAAGGTAGCGCGACGTGACCAGGTATGGAAGACTTGACTAGGCTTGGAGAGGCATGGAGGGTGGTTTGGAACAATGGCGGATGGCGCATGTACTCACAACATCTGAACACAGATAGCTGTTGAGTAGCTGTAGCACATTGATATTTTGTAATCTTCTTTCGAATATTCTGAAATTTTCACTGGAAACGATGTAATCGGGTAGAACAGAAAACCATCCGGTTGTTCGACAAACAAAAGAGTGTAAGTCATCAGGAATCGTTTTTTTTTCTTAGGGATCGGTCAGAGTTTGCCAGTGTTGCCTGTGTTGAAAGCGTTGCCGGTGTTGAAAGTGTTGAAAGTGTTGCCAGTGTTGAATGTGGAAATCATCATTCTCGCAGTTTCATTCTTCCTCGAACGATTTCACCGGCTGGTGAGTACGTTTGGAATGGAATTGGGAAATGGGAGATAATGAAACGAAATAGGAAATTGATGTACTAGTATTTCTTATGCCGCACAGGTTGGTATGGTGGAACTTTATTGACCTATTTCGAACAACTCGTCTTCGTCGGAGGTCTTCAGTTCACCAAAGAGTCAGTAGTCCGCATTATAGGTAGGTCTTTTGCTCACTAATTGCAGGAGCGCCCTTGATATCTAACACGCATTCTCACCAGCACATTTTCAGTTGGAGAAAACAAGTCCTCTACTTTTTGAAGAAGTTTGTATTCCCGAATCATTTATTACGTTCATATTTCCCATTTCCATTTCAGACGTATTCACCACCCGCTGAGATCGTTCGAGGAAAAATGAAACTGCAAGACTGATGATTTCCACATCCAACACTTTTAACACCGGCAACACCGGCAGCGCTTTCAACACTTTCAACACCTTCAACACTTTCAACACTGGCAACACTTTCAACACAGGCAACACAGGCAAACTCTGACTGATCCCTTAATGCGGTAGTATAAACCAAACCTACCTACCGTTCGCTGCACGGTATGAATAACCAAAACTTGCTAGCTTTGAGTTTTGTTTCAAAGCGCAGAATTGGAAAACACAAAACAAGATCATTCAGAACGCGTCTATACAATAGGCTCTGCAGGTTCAATCTTTTTAACCGCAGCCGATAGGAGGGTAAAGCTTGTGGGTGATTTGGATTGAGAAAACATCTGTAAAATAATATTCAGGTGAACGTTTTTTGGATTTTTCAGTTTTTTCGATGTTTCCTTTTATAAATGGACTCCAAATAGGCGAGACATATTCGAGATGCGTCGAGACAAAGCTTTTGTAGAGCCTCAAAAACCTCAGGATCATTGCTGTATATGCCTTGAAAAATAGTAATGAGCGTTGCCCGATATGAGATTTGAATGAAAGAGAGGCGTCAACCATGACACCAAGATCACGCATAGGGTTAGCAAATTCAAGACCGACACCGTCGCAGGTGTAAGTACGGCAGGGGGAACTCCCAAGATGCATAACAGTAGTCTTAGAAGCATTTAGAGGGATGTCCCATCTTGGACCAGATTTCCATTTTGCTGATGGAGGAAGAAAGTGCCATGAAGGCTTCGCCTTGATGATCAGAATCAAAACAAAAATGAATTATTATGTGATCAGCAAACATTAGTATTTTGACATTTGGATGGGTTCTCAGTATGCAGGTAATTCAGCAACGTATATCAAGAAAAGTAACGGTGAGAGTATTCCACACCTTGAGGGACGCCACTACTGCAACGGTAACGCTCTGAATACTTGTACCCGACCTGTCAATGAGCCCGGAAGAAATCCGTGTTGCTCACGAGGAATAACATTATGCGCGTCCAACCATTTGAAGAACTTTCTTCTGATTATCTTTCCGAGAATCTTTCCAGCAGAAGGCATTTTACTAATGGGTCGAAAATTCGCCAAAGTACCATTATATCCTTTTTTAGGAATAGCCCTGACTAAGGCCCCGGGCAGACTTCACGCGATTTGATCGTCGCGACTGAATCGCGACGAGACAACTGTTACAACATCATTCCATGCCGATCAACCTGCATTCGGTTGTGATACTTTTCCAGCCCGATATTTTTGAATGTGAAATGAAAATGAATGGAAATATTGGCGATAAGATCGCGACGATTAAGTCGCGTGAAGTCTGGCCGGGGCCTAACGCTTCTTTCCCTAATAGATACTACACCCGTTAGAGAGAAACATTGAAGAAAGAAAGAGGAGTGCACAAGGTATGGGCACAGTTTCTATAAACGATTTGTGGAATTCCATCAAATGTGGCAGTAGCAACTGACTTTAAGTTTTTCAGTATTTCAAAGACAACATCGGACAAGTAATAATCTGGAGTGAGTACATTTTGGGTGAACGCTGCCTTTAACACCAAGCACACCTCACGCGATTCCAGCCGCCATGCAATGACAGTACTCCAATATTGGCCAGGAGGGCATTATCATACTTAAAAAAAGTTTCACGTGAAGAGATGAGTTTGCGGCCATTAGTCACGTATCACGATTTTCTAGTTTTCTTTTCCCTCTATTATGTAAACGCTCTGCTATCCCGTCATCTGCACGATTTTGAAAACTACGGGATTGTTTGACTAGTTTGAGATCTCGTGACGTTTGGCGTGAGAAGGGTCCTAGCTGATACAACTTTTACGTCCTGGCGAGGTCCTATATTCGCGTGCCGAGCCCTTATGTGTATCCTGTGCATCATAGCAAGTGGCCTATGCTGGGTGGAGCTCAGGTCCCGCCGGCCGCCTCGCTTGGTGTCCGCATCTCTCTTATCTCTCTAATCATTTTCCCACTGCGAGAATGGAATATGAGGATCTTCGATCGCTAGTTAATTCTAAGAAGATGATTAGAGAGCAAGCTCGTTGCAGAGGTGCAAGCCGGCGAGGTGACCGCGCAGACCAGAGCCCCGCCCAGCAACCGTCACTCCCAATGATACAAAGCCTACAGTCAGTTCCAATTTCGTTTAAATAGAAGTTGGACTGGCGCGTCACGCACGGTTATGCAATATCGCATCTTTTTTATGACGCGACATGGAACAGTGTCTGCTTCTTTTCATTCTTTTGCTCTTTGAATGGCAGAATGACAGCCGCTGTTCTCGCGAAGTCTACGGCGAAGCAGACGCGAGTTCCACATAAAATGCTTAACCCGGTCCTGTTCGGAACAGACTGAATTTTGACTGCGAATGATTACGGATAAAGGCAAACGTACCTTACTACCATTCCCTCTATCCAGAACCTGAGGAATGCAAGAAAGGGTCCAAATGCTTCCATAAGGTAAGCATAGTCACCGCCCGACTTCGGGATCATAATACCGAGTTCGGCATAGATACACGCACCAAGAAAACACCATAATCCACATATAAACCATATTATGATTGACGCGCCGACAGAGCCAGCAGCTATAGAAGCAGAAATTCCTTTCAATTTAACGAAGGACTAGTGCGGACCTCGTTGAACGCCCGTAGGGGCGATAAATAATCCTGCACCAATCACTCCGCCCATCGTCATTGTAATAGCGTTCTTCAAACTGAGCGTTCTCTTCAATCCCTTTTCTTCATCTCCTTCATATAAACTTGAGAAAGACCACTAAAAACTCATCAACCTCAAAGGGACAATTTTTATGCAAGGAAATGCCTGAATGTATGATCGACTTGACTCGGCTTTACTGACTCCTTACCAACGCATCTTCTCCACTTGGCTTCTTTGAATCCTTGACCGTATTGGTGTGGCTCGAGTTTTTCTGTGCCGTGCGAGATGGTACTTCCCCATCTGTGTCACCTTTCTTATCGTCTTCTTCCTCATTTACAGGCATCATTCAGTTGTATTGTCCTCTTACTCAGTAAATGATGTGAGGGTGATTTCAAACCACCTGGTTGGACTTGGGAAGCTAATAAAATGATCAATACTCTGTGTTCTCTTCTATACAAATATTTGAGGAGATCATTTCAATGCTTTGAGGCATGGCAAAAATCCGTCCGATTCCATTTTCGAGTGCATGTGGGTTTTCTTCTACGGGTTGATGATTTGTAACATAGATCAGAACAAAAAGTTTATCGACCCTTTTTAGATGGTGCGAATAAATAATTTAATAGCTTCGTAACAAAATCATTTCATAAAATTTGTAGCAAGCTGATCCAGCGATTAGCGCTTGTAAGTCGTATTTATTGTCATCGACCAACATGAACAGTTTTTGCCAGAAGACAGTGAATTTATCTGTAACAGAAGCGTAAACCGTGTTCGAAGGTCAAAAGGAAGAGACGTACACATCAAAATGTTGAAGCACTGTGCCATTTTTCCAAATCATATAATGAGGACGTATATGGGCACCGCCGAAAATAGCACAGCAAAACCAATCGCTGAAGTTTTGATTTGGAAAGGAACGAAAGTGGTACACGTTAAAAATTAAGGTTCGTATAGTGAATCCATAGGTGCGATAGTGGGAGCCGGGCCCTCTCCAGGTGAAGGGGTCTCTGCTACTCCCATCCTTGTAAGGTGAATGGGGTAAGTGGGCCCTGAAAGCAAACTGCCCCAAAAACATACCGTTCGAACGCTGAGGTCATGTAGAATCAACCTAGGTTGTCGTTTTCTAATTCTTCTGTGCCGCGAAATAAGGGATTTTATGTACTTTATTCATCAACTGATGTATCTTATATATAAAGCTGAATGTCTGTTTGTCTGTCTGTATGTATGTGTGTACGTATGTTCCGAATAGAAAATTCCATTTCTGAACCGATCCGGACCAAACTTGGCACACATACACTTCGGGCCCCGGCGGGTGTCATAGGCTACTTTTCATCATCGATCGATATCGATTTTATCGATTTTTATCGATTTTTTTGCTGAGTTCACCTACGGGGCTGGGAGTTGGCACAGGGGGGTAATCGAGCATGGGGATTCCAAATACAATATTGGTTTTTAGGATTATCGATTACTTTTATCGATTTTATCGATTTTTTTTGCAAAGTTTGAGCTACGGGGCTGGGAGTTCGCACAGGGGGGTAATCGAGCATGGGGATTCCGAATACAGTATTGGTTTTCGGGATTATCGATTACTTTTATCGATTTTATCGATTTTTTTGCAAAGTTTGAGCTAGGGGGCTGGGAGTTGGCACAGGGGGGTAATCGAGCATGCTGATCATCCCCAAGGGGGGTGATCAGCATGCTCGATTACACCCCTGTGCAAACTCCCAGCCCCGCAGGTCAAATTTTACAAAAAATCGATAAAATCGATAAAAGTAATGGACGATCTTGAAAACTAATATTGTATTCGTAATCTGCATGCTCGATTACCCCCTGTGCAAACTCCCAGCCCCGCAGGTCAAATTTTACAAAAAAATCGATAAAATCGATAAAAGTAATGGACGATCCTGAAAACTAATATTGTGTTCGTAATCAGCATGCTCGATTACCCCCCTGTGCAAAATCCCAGCCTCGCATGTCAAAATTTACAAAAAATCGATAAAATCAATAAAAGTAATGGACGATCCTGAAAACTATTGTATTCGAAATCCCCATGCTCACTTCCCCCTGTGCCAACTCCTAGCCCTGTAGGTGAACTCTGCAAAAAAATCGATAAAAAACGGTAAAATCGACATCGATCGATAACGAAAAGTGGACTGTGACACCCGCCGGGGCCCGAAGTGTATGTGTGCCAAGTTTGGTCCGGATACGGCGGAGCCGGGTAAGCCAGCTAGTGATATATAAAGTGTAATGCATTGATATCACTATCAACTCAACATATGCTAAGATGGACGGCAGGCATCACGATGATGGACCACGTCACCAACGATACCATAAGAGCAATAATGAACGTCACCCTATCGTAAAGAAGGTACAAGAAAGGCGACTCCTGGTACGGACATGTTAGAAGGAGGGGAGAAGATCACGTCACTAAATTAGCAATGTCTGTAGATGTCCCCGGAAGTAGACCACGAGGAAGACCAAAGTTGAGATGGATGGAAAAAGTTGAGGCAGACTTAAAAGAGCTCGAAATTGATGGACATCAGGCTGAAGATCGTGAAAAATGGAGAACACTTATAAAAGTAGTAAAGTAGACATGGTGATGCACTGTTACGGTTTATGTTATTTGTAACGTTGATCAACAGTTTTTTTCTCTGCTCTTTTGTGGAACACCTAGCATATCAAATGATACAAAGAGAGTAGCAGACCCCGTTTGCGTATTGTATTAGGGAACAATGCAAGGATAAAAAACAAGTGATCTTGTGTCCTCACTTTCTGCTCTGCAAATGAATGCTACGAGAAAGTCGACGGTCTACGTTTGTTAAAGAAGACTTGCTCTGTAAAATAGATGGATAATCAGCAGTGATTAGGTCTTCGTTTGACAGAAATCTGCTGTTGAAAATGGACATAATTTCAGAAAAAAAGCAGTGTATCTCTCGGTAGAGGAGGGCTAGAAAGAAATCGACGGACTACATCGAATCTCCTTTTTCTGAGCTTTCGAATGGAGTATGGATTGCTGGGCGAAAACACTTGCCAGTTTTACAAATGGGGTGGAGATATTTACTATTAGTCTGCTCCACCCAGCTCCCCCAATGTATCGGGTTTTATTGGTCACCGGAGCAAGTGCTTTTTAGAGCCGGGAAGCAAAACAGCCCTAATATGCTTTACACCATTCGATAGTTAAGAACACGAGGAATCGACATTGGCCGTCTCTTTTTTCATAGCTTCTATGTGAAGCGAGATACGAGCAAATTTATCCAGCTATAATATCAGCCAGTTCTGGGTAATTATCTTTTCAAACCAAGAAGGTAAACCTAGAATCTTAGCAAGTTTAAGCGTACAAGGCCACAGGATTATATCAGTTTGAGTACATCAGTTTTTTGGAATGACTGAGGCATTGCAGCTTGAACGAAGTGCTTCTAAAGGGGTTATATGACACTCTAAAGCCTGCTGATAATAATTTTACGCAGCTTTTTTGTGATTTGCTTCAAAGGACCCCTTTGAGACGCTTTTATACGGCAGGAACACCTTCCAGAATACCGCAAAAAATTAGCTTTCACATCTCTGGCTCTGAACTTTTCAAAGTGAACTTGAACCTACCTCAAGAAAGACGCGGTTTTGGCAAATGCACTGCGCACAATGATGGTTTCCTCAACGGTCTAACAATCAAGATTGAGCTCAGAGAATACAACTATTCGAAAATTGCGTTTTCGTATGTCGAATTTAGAATCGCGTAAGCTCCCCTACAAAGCGTTTTCTGCAATTTCGGTGGGATCCTCAGAAAGTGAAAGACTTCCTCCACAGATCCATATATAGCAATCCCTAGCAGCCCTCTGGCACCCTTTTGAAATATGGTACCAACATCAAAGGCGCAAAAAGCGACAAACCTTTCGAATGACCTTATACAGGGTTGGGGGAAAGTCTTTGAACAACTTTTTGGTGCTATCTTGTTTTAACATATCATATCATATCTTATCTTATCTTTGGTGTGAATGGTCTCTGAACTGTTCTATAAAAGCCCTCTAAAAATTGGATTGATATTCTTGATCCTACCGGAATTATGCCTTCTCAATCAGAGCGCGAGCTGATAGTGAAGATGCACACGGAAGGGAAGTCTCAAAAGGAGATCGCTCGAATACTCGGAATTCCGCGGAACACAGTGTGGTACAACCTGCGCCGTTTCATGGAGACAGGCAGCACCCAGGACCGTCCTAGGGACGGCAGACCGGCCACCGCGAACACTTCCGCGAACCGGAAGATCGTCCGAGAACGCATACGCCGTAATCCGCAGAGGAGCTTGAATGAGCTGGCATCAGACCTGTCCATTAGTCGTAGGACCATCTCGGACATTGTGAAAGTGAACTTTGGGATGAAGCTCTATCGGATGCAGAAAACTCACGCACTTCAAGACAATATGAAGTTGATCCGACTTCACAGGTGTCGCCGATTGCTGGAGCGCTTCTCCAAGGCACGCCACCGAACGATCCTTTTTTCCGACGAGAAAATTTTTACCGTGGAGCAGGTTTTCAATCGCCAAAATAGCAGGATCATATCTAAGTCGCTCGAAGAAGCAAACAGCAAAGGTCGCCTTGTGGAAAGTAAGCTCCATCCGGCTTCTGTGATGGTTTGGGCGGCAATCACTTCCGACGGCAAGACGCCGCTGATTTTTGTGCCTCAGGGCACCAAGGTAGACGCTGCTGCGTACTTAGATAGCATACTGAAGAAAGAGCTGCTACCCTGGACCAGGATCCATTTTGCCGGTAGAGATTGGTGCTTCCAGCAGGACAGCGCACCTGCTCACAAGTCGAAGGTTGTTCAGGCGTGGCTTCAAAGCAACGTTAAGAACTTCATCACTCCCGCAGAATGGCCTCCGTATTCGCCGGATCTTAATCCGCTTGACTACAGCGTATGGTCAGTTCTTGAGGCCAAAGCCTGCGCTCGTCCCCACAAGACTGTGGAGTCCCTGCGACGCGCTCTTCAGAATGCGTGGGAGGAAATCGACGTGGAGTACCTCCGTGCCACCGTGGATAGCTTTCCAAAACGTCTTCGAGCCTGCGTTCGCGCCAAAGGAGGGATCTTTGAAATGTAAAGTTGCTTTTATATAGTAGACTGCTTGATAAACAATATATATTTATTTCATGTAAATTTGTTGCCTAGTCTCGTGACTACGATAAAAATACCGTGTTCAAAGACTTTCCCCCAACCCTGTAATATGTGCGAAGAATTACCTTACAATTACCCTAAAATCCGGCATATAAGAACGGACTTATCTGCAGTTTTGGCAGGAAAATCGATGGAAAAACCGCCGCAAAAGGTCTCACAGATAAGTCCGCCTAAATCCTCTCGCAGATACGTCCGTCTGTCCTGAGCATGAGCAAGCGCGACCTAGGAGCACAAACGCGCGC